GAATACCCTTCAACATTGCATGTAATACTGGTTTGGCGGTGATGAACTCCTTCAGCTTTTTCTTTGTGAACTCTGTCTGACCTTCAGTTCTAAATGATAGCTTTGCTGGGTAGAGTAATCTTGGTTGTAGGTTCTTGCTATTCAGCACTTTGAATATTTCTTGCCACTCCCTTCTGGCCTGCAGAGTTTGAGAAATCAGCTGACAGCCCTATGGGTGCTCCCTTGTAGTAGCTAACTGCTTTTTTTGTGCTGCTTTTAAGATTCTCTCTTTGTCTTTAACCCTTGGCATTTTAATTATGATGTGTCTTGATGTGGACTTCTTTGGGTTCATCTTGTTTGGAACTCTTTGTGCTTCCTGAATTTATAAGTCTATTTCTTTCACCAAGTAGAGATAGTTTTGTCATTTTTTTCTTTTGGTAGGTTTTCAGTATCTTGCTCCCTCTCTTTTTCTGGCATTCTCATGAAACAAATGTTGGTAGGCTTGAAGTTGTCCTAGAGGCTCCTTACACTCTCTTCAGGTTTTGGGATTCTTTTTTCGTTTTGCTCTTCTGATTTGGTGTTTTTTGCTTCCTCATATTTCAAATCACTGATTTGATTCTAGGCATCCTCTACTCTTGATTACTTATAAATTAACCTTTATTTAAATTAAGTATGCTTAATTTCTGACTGTCCTTTTTCATGTCTTTAATGTTCTCAATAATTTCCTTGAAATCTTCACTAAATCCCTTGAAGCTCTCAATAAGATCCTTGAGCATCCTTATAACCATTGTTTTGAATTGTATCTAGTAGTTTGCTTACTTCCATTTCATTTAGTTCTTTGGAGATTTCTGTTCTTGAACTTGTGACATGTTTGTTTCCACATTTTGGCTGCATCCCTGTGTTTATTTCTATGTATTAGGTAGAGCTGCAATGTCTCCTGGAATTGGTAGAGTGGCCTTGTGTAGTAGATGTCACTGTAGGGCCTAGTGGCTCAGCCTCCACAGTCACCTGAGCTGGCACTGTTGGTACACCCTTGTGTAGGCTTTGTGCACAGTCTTGTAGTTAAGCCTTGATTGCTATTAGCATCGCTGGGAGGAATTGACCCCCAGGCCAATTGGCAGTGAGGACCAGCTGTGACTACAGTGGAAGAGCTGCTGTGCAGGAGAAACCCCTTCGGAGGAAGATTTGTTTCCGTGGGACTTTGGTGCTCACTGAGTCTGCCCCTTGAGTGTGTCCTTTGTGGATGTGTAGAGTTGTAACCTGGCATAGTCTGAAGCTGTCCACTGGGTGCACAGGCTCTGTGGTCCCCCCTGCAGTCAGCCTCTGCCTGTGCCCTGCCTGGGCTACCTCTCAGGAGCTACAGAACAATCTGTAGAGGGCTGCTACTTGTGTTGGGCTTGGAAGTGCCCAGGAGAGGCCAAGCTGTAAAACAAGGCAGTGCTGAATTCAAAGTGCTGCTATTGCCAGGCCTGGAGCCTCTTATTGAAAGGTATGGGGCACACTGAATCCAGCTACTGTTTGTTTCAGGGATGTTAGGACAGACAGAAGCCTGAGCCAGGGCAGGCCATTCCTGTGGGGAAGCTGCTACAAACAGCTTGGGGTGGGGCTGCAGGTTGGATGGGGCAGGGTCTCAGGGAATCACCAGAGCAGAGCAAACTGTGAGCCAGTCTGATGGAAACTCAGATATAGTGCCTATCATTTTGCTCTGTGGTGGGGGAGGTCCCAATACAGGAATAGTGACCCCTGCAAGCACTCCTGTCCGGGAGAAAGCCACATCCAAGTTCTTGCCTGGTGCCAGACAATCCATTTCCTCCCCTTAGTCCCTGGGCCCCCCCCCCCCCCCCAAGCCACTGCCCCAGCGTTGGCACTCAGAGGAAGCAAATCTGAGTCCGTCAGTGTGCCAGCCCTTTAAGAGGAACTGCCTGGTCTCCAGCAGCTTCTATGTGCAGTCAGCCACAATCCCTGCTGCTTTTTACAGCCTGAAGTTACGGGGACTTTTCTTCCTGGCTCTGGAACCCTGGGCTGGGGGTCTGGTGTGGGACTGGGACCCCTCGCTCAGCCTAGATATTTCTCCTAAAAAAGACAGCACATGTGGTTGTCGGACCAGCCCCTTCTCTGTGCCTTCACCCCTCCTATCAATCTCGATGTGCTTTCTTATTTACTTCTCTAGTTGTAGGACTCCAGCCAGATTTCAGGCAGTTCTGAATGATGGTTCTGTATTTTAGTTGTAATTTTGATGTGGTTGTGGGAGGCGGTGAGTCCTGGCATTTACCTACACCGCCATCTTTGTTCTCCAGGCAGAACCTTTCAAACCACACACGTTCAGCAAGCTTCCGCTGCCGCTGGGGGAGAGTAACCGGTGGAATGGTTTTGTTTTATATCAAGCAAACAACATTTAGTTAAAATTTAGCATTTAATCCAAAGAACGTTAGCTTTGTGGGGCAGGGCTCGGCCTCTGGGGTTGCTGTGCCCAGAACACCTGCTAGGACGAGGTCTGGCACGTGGGCATTCATAGTGGCTGGTAAGGTAGTAGTCTCTCTTGGTTAATTCGCAGCAGTTTTGCCAGCCTCCTGTCTTTGTAAAAAACAACCTGGATTTCACAGATTTTCTGTGGATGGTTGGCATTTTCTTTATTTCTGACTCCTGGATTGAAAGCAGGTTACTCTTTTTTAAAAAAGCTGTGTGTGGTGAGCAATGAGTGGGCTCTGGAGCCCAGGAGAGGTGGGTGATGTGGCTCTAAGGGACCCAGGGGTGGCCGGCTGGCGGGCCCGCTCACCCGCAGGTGCATCTCCTGCAGGGCCATCGCAGGATCCATGACACACTCTGCCGGCTCTGGTGCGGACAAGGAGTCATTCCAAGAAAGGATGCCTTCCTTCCCTGAAGGGTGGAAGAAAGGATGCCTTCCTTCCCTGAAGGGTGGCTTCTCTTTCTAAGAGTTTCGAAAGTCAGGAAAGAATGCTCGATTGCTGATAGCGTGAAAAGAACAGTCCTGGTTTGGTACTGGAATGGGGTCAATCCTTAAAGAGCACTGAGCCCAGGAAAAGTGAGTCAACTATTACATCACCACTTGGCATCGTTCTACCCGGAAATTGTGTGTCCAGTCCGTGTAGTCATTTAAAATTCAAGTTCTATGGACTTTTACAATAGTAACCATGGAAATGTTTGCGTGACAAGGGGTCAGCCAGAGTGATTTTTATGTGGTTAGATGGGTGTTTGGGGACAAGCCTAGCTCACCCCAAAAGTTCCCCATCCATCCTCACTCCTGCATCCTCCGCCATGCCTGCCTTCAAAGCCGCTGCCCTCTGGCCTAACTCGGGGTGCAGATCGCCCGGAGGGGTTCTGTGTGAGCGCCTGCTTGTTCACCCTCTCCACACGTCCCAGGTGCCCTGCGCTTCTCGGGTGCTGCGTTTGTAGGATCGCCCTGGGATTCACTTGGATGGGGCTGGGGGACAGTTAGAATGGGGCGACAGTTTGGAGAAGACTTGGTTAAAACTTGTTTTGTTTTGTTTTGTATTGATTTGAGAGAGAGAGGAAGCAGGAGGGAAAGAGAGAAATATCAATTGGTTGCCTTAAGATGTGCCCTGACTGACAATAGAACCCGAAACTTTTGGTGTGCAGGATGGCACTCCAACCCTCTGAGCCAGAGTTCACTTTTTATTTGTTTGTTTGTTTTTGTTAATTCTCACCCAAGGATATTTTTTCCATTCATTCATTCATTTATTATTTGAGAGAAAGGGAGTGGAAGGGAGGGAGGTGGGGAGAGAGAGAGAGAACATAGATGTGAGAGAGACATATTGATTGGTTGCCTCCTGCATGTGCTGCCCTGACCTTGGCTGGGGATCAGACCTGCAACTCAGGTATGTGCCTTTGATGGGGAATTGAAACCAAACCCTTTTGTACTTTTAAGTACTTTTTAGAAGCTATGACACAATGCCAGTTTTATTTATAACAATAAGTAAAATACAAAATACAAAACAATTTTTTTTTTTTTTGCAAAAAATACAAGAGGAAGCTATATTTATGTTGTCATGAGATCTGATCACCATGGTTTTTAAACATTTTGTGGTGTTTGAGATGGAATGTGCGCGTTTAATTGCGAGTGCGGCTCCACAAGAAGAAAACACGCTGCATGTGATACGTTCCAACCCATGAGGCTCGTGGCTCCCAGGGCCTGTGTCTGCTCTGCTCCCGGGTGTGGGCCAGGCCTTTCCCGGGGGCGTGTGCAGGCATCTTCCACGCATGGTGGATGTGCTGGAGACTTGCCTTTTTGCTCTCTTTCATTTTGGCCGTCACATGGCTTTAATGGCTCCATTAACAAGCAGGTGTGGGCCTTGGTGACAGTGGAATGAAAGCTTCCCGCCTTTTTCTTCATCAAAGATGCCTTTGCTTTTATACCCAAAACTTTTTCTGCCCCCACATGGGGGTGCAGAACTGCACCCATTGGCTGCGTTAATAGGCAGAACACACGGTTGCCCTTTGACTAGGCCCTGGGGTGGCTCTGGTGAGTCAACCCAGCGCTACACCCGCCTGCATAGGCACACGGCAGGCGGCCGCCTGGTGTCCTTCCTCAGGTGGCCCTCGTGCTCCTCAGAGAACAGCCACTTCGTCTCTTCCTCCCGTGATGTTGGAAGTGTTCCCGAGGAGTTTTACCTGGTATGAAAGTTGACGTAGTTGTTGAACTGACCACCTCAATCTCTATGTCCTCAAGTGTGTCCAATGATTTGTGTGTGTGTGTGTGTGTGTGTGTGTGTGTGTGTGTGTTTATCTGCTTGCAGTGGAAGCATATGAAATTTTTGAATTTTGCAACGCTGAAACTCCAGCTTCGAGAAAGGCAATCATCCTACATCCCTTACTCCTTATGCAGAGCTAGGTGGTGGGTGACCATGTTGGCCTGTTAACTGTAGTCTGGAAGTCAGGGAGCTTCTGGAAATAGGAATATGCGTGTGCGAAGGGCATGCTGCCCGCACACCTGTCTGCCTGACCACGGAAACGATGTAATTCTTGTTCTTGTTCTGGTGCAGCCTCCATGCGGCAGTCTCAGGCCCTCCCTGCAGACATGCGACCGGAGATGTGGATCGCACAGGAGCTGCGGCGGATCGGGGACGAGTTCAACGCCTACTACCCACGGAGGGTAATGAGAGTTTCTTATTCCTTACTCACCCCTCTTCTCCCACGCTCCCTCCCGGCCGCGTACGATAAAGTGACCGGTAATCATCCCGTGCTTGTTCTACAAGTGATAGACACGGCCTGTGTGTCGCCTGCCGTTCCTCCTTCCCATGCTCCTTTGTGCTGTGGCTGAACTGACGTGCTGGTGGCTCTGCCGAACCCAGTACAGGGTGGCCAAGGGGGTTCGTGAGCACAAGCCTCAAGCCATCGTGCTAAAAAGGGGTTATTTATATGCTTTGAAATAGTCCCACATAAACGTTACCATCGTTTCAGTCCATATCGGTGTGTCTACACTCCCTTTAGTCAGTTTTGGTTGAAGTCAAACATTTAACTTGCCACCCTCACTCGCGAAGGAAATGAGGCCCTGGGGTTTGCTGGTGACATGGGTCGGAGCATGTGATGATGTCCTTTTGGTCCCATTGGCTGTCCGTGGAGTGTCATTTATTGAAAAGTATTAGAATTAGGAGGCCATTCATTAATGGCCTGTAAAAATTACACTTCTGGCGCAAAAATGTTACACCCCAGGTTGATTGCCACTTACATTTTGGAGTGTGCGGTTGATTTTTTTAAATTAAGCCCCATGTCTTGTTCAGCAGACGCAGTGTATTTCCTGCTTGCCTCGTATTGGTAGGCGGTACCATTGGTAGGCGGTACCTTTTCCCCATGAAGACTTGAGAGTGTGTAGCTGCAACTCAGATTCAGGGGGGCCGTTGTGAGCATGTTTGACTACATCCTGTAAGGGGCTCGCTAGCCAGTGTGTGATTTCATGGGATTCTGGCTGGTTTACATTTTTTTCCAAACGACCATGTATGAAGAAGGAATTTCTGTTGAGTTATTTAAAAGGCAGACACCTAAATCTTACTTCATAGGAATGATGGTTAATGTCGTTCCTACTGTGTCATTTCCCTCTGACTCTTTTCTTTCTGAACACTGTGGTTCCATGTAAAGATATTTTTAAGTCTCATTTCTTCTGGAGGGAGGACGAGCTTAGGACACTCCCGTGGTTCCGTCTTGTGCTGAATGCTGGACGGTTGCTAAGCAAATAGATGTTACCTGTTACAGGTCTCCATCCTTCCTGTGCTCCTGCCCATACACGTACTTTGAAGCTTTTCCCAGCACATGGAGACAGTTCCCCGTTACATGGGGGGATTTCATTTATTCAGTGTAGGATCTCCATAAGGGGATCAGGGACTTTCAGAAAGCTCACACTGGATCCCCTTCAGACCTTCCTGTGGGGGAGAGGGTGGTGAGGGTGATTGGTGGGAAGGGCGTGACAGTGAGATTCTGTCATTAAATGGGAAGTGTGTGGCCGGGCAGCACTCCTCAGGGCGAGGGCCCAGTGGATGCAGGATGTTGGTCCCCATGCCGAGGTGGGGGGGTCCCTGCAAGAGGGTGGGCTGGCTAGATCTGGAACCTGGTTCTGGATTGTGCCCGTAATCCAGCCGGTAGGTCACTGGGGAGCCAGGGGCCCTCGGCGTGGGTGAGGCCGGCAGTGAACCAACCCCAGCAGCCGGCCCGCCTCCGGCACCGCCTCCAGATGGGGTGGCAGGTGTCTTTGGGACCAGATCTGTTTGGGAGATGAGGCCCGAGGGCCCTGGTGCCTTCAGTGTGCAGAAGCTCTGGACACCGATACATCAGCACAGTCCCTCCCGGTGACGGTGCCAGAGCCCCCGGCCACAGGGCCAGGTGTGGAAGGCTGTTCTGTACATTTCTCTAACCGTACGTGGAGTACCAGTGTCCACCAAGCTCTCCCCGAGCCTGCCCAGGCGAGGTGGGTGATGCCTCCTTTCGGGGTCCTGAGGTGGTCAGTGATGGGACAAGGACGAAGGATGACGTGGGGTTGGAGCACAGCCATCCTGTCACACAGGCTGTCGAAGGGGTGACCAGTTCTAGTCACGGCAAATGAGACCCCGGCCATTAGGTCGTTTTCATCACCTTGTCTTTCGGTTGAAGGTGAAGTGACAGCATCTACCAAGTCCGTTGCTTTCGGTCTTTCCCGTCCTTTCTCCCCATTCTCCCCGTCCTCCCCCTCCTCTCACAGTTATTTCAGTTTGATGTGTAAGATGGTTGTGTCTATTATTGCAGATATGTAACTATCTGCTCTCAGTGTGTTGGTGAGATAAGTGTAAATCTGTTTGCATTCTGTTGCTGTATATGCCAGCTGGGACACAGGGGGGAGGAGGAGGGACATGCAGACTGCAGGTTACAACCTGATATTTCTACAAAGGAGGCTAATGTGTCCTCCGGGTTTTATAAGTGGCCATTTCAAACACCACTCTGCAGCTCAGGGTGGTGACACAGTGACTCCAGAGCCATAGATGCTGCCTTGATGGTGTTAAACACCCCATTGTCTGCACACCCTGATGGTTTGTCCTTCAATATCGGGGCCAGACGTTTGGGGGAAACGGGAGGCCTTTGGGGAAAGTGATGCCTTGAACCTTCACGCTGGCTGCGCTCAGAAGCCTTTGCCCTTGGCGAGGGTGCGCTGTTTCAGACACTTGGCGTCTGCATTTGCTTTAAACCACCTCAGTGCCTTTTCTGCAGCGCTGGTCTTTGACTGCCACGAGCGTGCGAACCTGACAGGAGATTCTCCCGTTTTCCCAGTGAGAGCGATAGAGGAAGTTGTCACGTAGTTGTAGTGTGTTCGGGCCGCGTCAGGGCAGGGGGCAGCGGGCAGCATGTGGCCCGGAGCTGTGGAGGCTGAGTCCCGGAAGCAGGAGTGGGAGAGGCACAGGTGAGCATGTCCGCTGCGGTTCCCTCCCCTGGACCCCGAGTGGTGCCTCAGATGACCTCCCAGGCCAGAGACACCCTCCTCCCCCCCTAAGGGCAGCTTCCCCGGGCCACATCAGGCTGGTTCTGTGACTTGTTCTGTAATCATTTCAGACTTAACACAGAAGTTACAAGAATGGTACGAAGAGCCCTCTTCTGTCTGCTGCCTCTGCTCTCCGCTGGTACCCTCCCCACACTTGGCACTAACGCTTCTCTCCTGATACCTGTGTACATGTTTTCTGAAGTATTTGGGAACACATTGCAGACACTGTGTCCCTTTACTCTCAAATACTTCTGTGTGTATTTCCTAAGTCTAAGAGGATTTTCTTCTGTAGCCTCAGTGTAGACATCAAAATCAGAAGCTAACAAGACTGCGGTAATGTTGTGTAGCCGGTGGGCCTTATCCACACGTGGCCCACTGTCCCAGCCGTGGGACGTGTGTCCTCAGTGCTCAGCTGCAGTCGGCACTTCGCTGTGTGTGATGGGAGGGACGCGTGCACAGGGCGATAGCTCTCCTTTCCCCGGGCGTTCGCTACATTCATCACAGGTTCATGGGCCCCTGTGTATTTTTATTTAATTTCATTTAATTTTGTTGATTAGAGAGAAAAACATCGATAAGTTTTTCCACTCGCTTATGCATTCATTGGTTGATTCTTGCATGTGCCCTGGCCTGGGATCGAACCCGCAACCTTGACATAGCAGGATGACTTTCTAACAACTGAGCTACCCAGCCGAAGCCGTGCTCCCTGTTTAATTCAGGGGGTTAGGATGTGTTACACTCAGTACCTATTTTGATGCTCATATTGCCGCAGGTGGGGCCACTGGCAGCCGTCTGGTGTCTTTTCACCACGTCATTGAACATAAAGTGTCGGGTGGTGGAGGCCCATGACCAAAGCGTTGTGGGACTGTGGATGGATTTGCGGCTAAATGACCTTCACCCACACAGCGTCCTGACTCTCAGAGCTCCAGGACCTTGCAGGGGGCCAGGTGAGCACGGGGCTGACAGGCATCGTCCCCGGACAGGACCTCTCAGAGGCGAGGGCTCTGTGACGGGGAGTGAGGGGTCAGTGTGGTGGCCTGTGCTTCAGCAGCCTGTTCCCGGACTCCCACTTCCTCACGGGTGGCCCTGGTGCCCCTGGTTCCTGAATAGCCTCTGCTAGTGCCCTCACCCTGAGAAACCGCAGGAGGCGATCCAGGTCCCGGCCTTCCCTAAGTGTGAGCCTGGATCTGGATCAAGAGGCGATCCAGATCCATGCTCACACTTCCTGATGCTGGAGGGCCATCAGCAAGTGTGGGCATGGCCGTCCGAGGGTGCAGGTGGCGTGTGCTTACCCGTGTGAACGGGCCAGGCTTACAGTCGGAGGCTGCTGAGCGTGTGCCGCACCCTTTAGACCTGGAATCCTGTGCTCTCGGGGTAATTAGGCCCATCCTGTACGCAGCGTGCCCCCTGCCCCCCGTGCCAGGGCCTGTGCAGCCTGAGCCGGTCCGTGTGCAGGTCCCCGCCAATGAGCAGTGGTGGGATGTCCTGGCAGTGAACTGCAGGGGACAGCCGCACACAGAGCCGTGGCAGACGCTCTGGATGGGCTGGGAGGTGGGTGAAAGCCCTTCCATTGTCTGGTCACAGGAACAGTGTGCCTTTTGTTCACAAGGCCTACTTCCTACTGTGTCCCAGGCGTGTGCGGGCATGCAACAAAGGAACCTGCAGACGGAAGCGCACATGAACCAAAGCAGGGAGAAAAGGGGCTCAGGCGCTGTTTTTATAAAAGATACTCTTTACAGATCACGTGCAAGGGGGAGGTCTGCACGGAGCTTGCTCGGTGTGCGTGCACACTGAGCGTAACCCGGGGCTGCGTGTCCTCAGGCAGCGTTCCGCTGAGGCCTGCATTAATTGAATGCTGGGGTTTAATAAAATGAACCGCTTTTCGTTACTGCCTGAGTTGAGAATAATGAAAAATACACATGTCAGATATTAAACACATCGTACAACGTACAGATCTTACAGTACAACATTCCTGAAACCTACGAGATTCTGTGGGCCAACGAGTTTAATAAGAGAAAAAGGTAAACTCGCTGCTGGGATGGTGAGTTGTCTCACCTTTGCTCACATGGATTCACAGTGACCGCTTTCACAGCCAAAGCAGGGGTGCGTCCGGTAAATCCATTGGCATCTGCCGCTGGTGAGTTTCCAGGTTTAGCAGGTGTTTTCCTTGGAGGTGGGTGCAGTTGTGTGTTTGGTTTTAAGGGCCTTGCACCCCCGCCGCATGCCGTTTCCACACCGCAAGAACGGCGACCAGAGGGCGAAGACCGAGGCCCCTCCTGCAGCTCCCGCTCTGTCTCTCCCTGGGACCAGCAGATGGCCGAGGTTAGCGCTCACCGACCTCTCCCACCTCATGGCTGGCGACCGTGGGTTGCGTGTTTTGCGTGAGACTTTCCACAACCTGCTGAGGATCAAGTGTGATCTCGTAGAAAACACAGCTCACGGCCGAGTGTGGGGGCCTCGAGTCCCACCCTGGGGCTCCTGCCGGGCGGTCCCTTAGGCAGGCCGTGAAGGCTGAACCGGGGCATTTAGGAATGGAGCCGGGAAACGCTGTCGCCCCTGTCCCAGCATTCTGCCCTCTGCCTCTTTGAACTACAGTGGAAACGTTTCTCGGCTCCCTGTTGTTCAGAGACGTGCTGGTAGCGGTTCACCTGTCTGTCAGACACGTGCCGCGGCCTGCGGCGGTGCGGTCTGGGCAAGCGCAGTGAAATGAGGGGGAGCACTGGTGCGTGCTACCCGGCTCGGCCGCATCCCGCCGGGGACACTTCTGGCTGCTCCCCGGTCTGCCCCGTGGGGCACCTGCACGCTGCCTCGCTGCCTTGGGGGATGTGGCCATGAGCACGTAACCAGAGCAGGTGCGGGTGCCGGAGGGGGATTCAGAGTGTCTCCCGGGGGTTTGCGTCTCCGGAGGAGGAAATGAAGATGTCCCCGAGGTGAGCCCTCCGGCTGAGGCGCCGAGGTGGGCGCCGTGGTTAGTGGGCACGGCTCATTGGCGAGTTTCTGAGGCCGGGCCTTTCGGAGCACTGCTGCCCTCGGGTTGGCTCCCTCCTGTGACCCTCACAGGTGACGGGAGCACTTCATTCCCGCCGGCCTGGCTGGGGGCAGGGTCGGTGACTTCGTACCGCAGGTGGACATGCGTGTCGTTGGAGGAAAACCTTAGGACATGGCAGGCCTGACTAAGGTGAACGGGAGGAGTGATCTGTGGTCCTACAAGAGGCCTTGACTGTGGCAGAGTCTTTGAAATAACGCATCAAAAGTAGGAGCGTGGCTTTCATGCAAATGCTGTTTTGTGTGACGTTTGGCATCGCATCGCTGCCCAGGCAGGTCAGCGGAGCCTCGGGAGGGAGTCGGGAGTTGCCCGGGCAAGCTCCCTCGGGGCTCCCAGCAGGAGCACTGCACCTGGCATGGGGCCTGGTGCTCTGCCCACAGCTGTGCGGACGCCCATGCTGCCTGGGTATGAGTAGAAAGTGAACCTGGTCTTGGGATTGCTTTGCAGCAGCAGTGGATGGCGGAGCCACGTACAGTCCAAGCTGAGATGCTGGGTGACTGGTCCTTGGCTTCATGGTGGACAGGGGTTTTTGTCCTGCAGCCTGTCTCCTCCGCTGCCTTTAAAAGACTGTTTCTATGGATTGGTTATGAATGGGCAGAGGGATGGTGGTCCTCCCTGGGTACCGCTGGCTACTCTCTGTCCCCACCCCACCTTCTCACCTGTGGTACGGTGGCCCTTGGCTCCGTCCCAAAGATGCCAGGACAGACCCTGGGAATGCCAATGCCATCCTGGGGACCCTGCATCCTCCCCTGCCTGAACCCGGGGCTTCCTCTCTGTCAGAGTTCTGTTTGGTCTCAGCCCAGAATCCGGGCTCCTGTGATGTCACCACTGAAAGGTAGACCCAAAGTTCAGGACATCTTGGGCATTCGGGGTTGAAACCTTGTAAGAAGGGAGCTGTTGAGAGAGTTAAACTGTTTGGAGTGATGCCGGGCGTGGTGTGCGGTGCTCACGCGGTGGGAGTGATGCTGAGCGTGGGGAGCCGTGCTCACATGGTCGCTGGCCCTGCCGTTGCGATGGGTCCGTGGGCTGCAGCCTGCAGTGTGCTCCGGTGCAGCTGCGTCCTTGGTTCTCACATGTGGCTGGTCTCCCCACCACACTGGCTCGGGTTCTGAAGACGGAGGCAGGCGTGCGGCACCTTGTTTGGTTCCGTGGTGGCAGTGGATGAGCCTCCTTGTCTCCGAGCTGGAGGCCTGGGGTGTCCTCCAGCTTTCCCGGGCTGGCTCCTCTCTGCAGGAGAGAAAGGCTTCCCTGCCGGGCAGGTGGGCAGTGCCAGCCTCCTCACCAGATCCCACCACCTGCTTCTCCGGTTTGGGATGAGAGCCTGTTTGGCTGCGGTGGTTTCGGCATTAAGATGTAATTAAATTCCCTAGTGTAACTGGGACGTGTTACTTAGGCTGGAAGTCGTAAACCGTCCTCGGGGGTGGCCGGTGCCGTGTCGTCGTCCTCTGTGCTCCAGGCTGCTGCACCCGGGGCGCCGGGCTGTGCAGCACCCCAGCTCCTGCCCTGCACGTGGGCCGGCATCTTCCTCCCTGCTGGCTGCTCCCTGCGGGGCCCAGAGGCCCTGCCCTCCTGCTGCCCAGGGGAGCCAGTGTCTCAGGTCACTGTCCCAGGGAGGCTGGGAGCCCATGAGTCCTCCATCCTCCTGTTTTGTTTTTCAGGGACTGTCATTGGAGGGAACACCCTGGAGCTTCACATTGTTTTCTATTGTGGTATATTGTGAGAAGTCAGATGCGCACGCCTTGTTTAGAACACGATTTTGACTGGACTGTTTGCGCCCTCCCCAGGGCAGGGCCCTTGGACCTCCTGCCGTTCCTCAGGCTGGTCTTCTGGAGTGTCCTCCTTTCCTTCCTGAGCACCATCCTTCCTCGGGACCCGAGTGGGGTGGGCCCTGGGCCTTCCTGCCCGGCCCTCCTTCCGTCTCCGCCCTCACGTTTCCCTGTGTGGCCCTGGTCATAGGGTTCTGTTCAGCTGTTTGGCTCTCTGTCCCTCAGGTGCTCCCGCTGCATTTTTTTTTTTTTTTTTGACGGAAGGAGCCTCCGTGTCTTGGCTCCGCTCTGCTGCCCACGGTGAAACCGGCCTGTATTTCTCTGGAATGTTAGGTGTTTTTCTGTCCTTGAAGTGCGAAGCTGTCCCCGGTCCCAGAGGTGGGGCAGCGGCCGTCCTCGCGGAGGGCAGCGCCACAGGGGCCCTCAGACGGGCTGGAGTGGCTGTGCTGCACTTGGTGCCGGTGCCACGGGACTGCCCACCAGGCCCGGTGAGTGCAGGCATGGGCGTGCCAGGTGGAGCCCAGGGCCCTGCCTCCCCTCCCTCTCGGGCAGGCCTGGGCTGCGGGAGCCCGCACCCTGCAGGGAGGAGGGCAGACTGTCAGGAATGGGTTCCTGGAGCAGGACACAGAACTGATGGTGAAGGAGTCCCTGCAGACACGTGGGCTGGCCTTAAAGTCCGTTTCTTCCGATACAGTTCCTGATCTAGACCGGGGGGATGAATTCCCCTATGGGGATGGCCCTGCACTCAGGTGCCTGTGAGCGTGTGCGAGCAACAGGCAGCTGTGATGCACAACTTGTGTCGGAAGTATTTTTATGATTTAGAATAAAGTCGCGTTCCTCGACTCGAGCCTAAAGGCTGTGACGGACCAGGAATGAGAGGCTGCGGGAGTCAGCTCAGGCTGTCGGGCCAAAGGACCACACGGGGCTTAAACAATGGAAACGTGTTTCTGCCCCGCCCCGGAGGCCTGCAGTCTGCGGGCTCGGGCTGGCTGGCCGCGGGGTCTGCGTGGCGCTGATGGCCGGGCCCTGGCAGGACGTCCGCCCGGCGTGGCTCGTGCCTCCGGCCCTGTGGGCGTCATCGGGCCCAGAGCACGGGGAGCTCGCTCTGTGGGGCAGGTGTTGGAGGCAGTGAGCCTGCAGAAGCAGGATGCCCCTCCATCCGGCTGCCTTGAGGTGGGGCTAGACCCCCGGAGCCGGCAGCGGCTTCGGTGGCTGTGCCAGCTGTCGGGTGTTTTCTGGGCTGGCACAGCCTTTGGAATCCGTGGTAATGGCTTCCTCTGTTGAATATTATCCAAAAGCAATTGTCCGCTGGCTTAAAAGCGTGGGCCGTGTTGTCACGCGTGCTGTCTGAGGGGGCAGGCGGTCTAGCTCCTTACTGAGATGTTGCAGCAACTTCTCATCTGTCAGCAGTGGGGCGCCGGGGTGGGAGGGGGGGGGGGGCAGGCGCTGTGTTCCTTTAGCCACAAATCCCCGCACCAACCCCTCCCAGCACATCTTTGGATCCCCTGCATGTCCTTTCCATCTGAGATCAAAGCAGAGCTCCAGACACGGGCAGACCTCCTCTCTCGTGGTGTGACTTGTCCTTTGCCACGTCCCCTGCTGCCCTCGGTTGGGGGGGGAGGGGGAGAGGAGGGCTGGGGGAGTCTCCTCCTCGGACACTGTGGCTCTGGAATAGGACATTGGCTGAGTCTGTCCCCATGTGACTGGCCCCCTGGTTGGTGTCATTTTTCACCCCATTCTCTGTCCTGCTGAGGCCACATTGGCACCTGGCTGCCATGACATTTCCCCTCAAAGTGCTTGCTGAGCCCGGCACTTGCACACCCTTTCTTCATTTTAGTAAGCCGTGGTTTTATTTTGAATAAGCCTCTTTCAACCTACTAATATTAGTCGGAACTAAAACCTCCCCCAAATGCTTCTCACACAGAAGAAGCCAAGTGATTTTGAAAGTTAAATCAAAACAAAGCCACCTGGGGTGTGACAGATAAAATCGGACTGTGGTTCGGGAGTCTGCGGGGCCTGCCGGCCGGCGTGCCAGCCAGCTTCCTCGTCTGCCTTATTGCCGTCCTGCTCGGGCCCGGTGCACAGGGGCTGTGGAAACAGTCGCGAAGGGGACTGCCTGGCAGCTGCTGTGTGGATGGCCTGGGTCTGAGACTGGACCCTCCTTACAGCCCCCAGAAGGTCACCCTTTGGGGAGTCTGAGACACACGTGGGCCGTAGCCACTTCATACCTGCCAGGCTCATTCTTCCCTCCCTGGGCCCGTCCCTCTTGGCGGGCACCAGCTCTCCTGCACCAGGCGGTGCTCACTCCCAGCGGCCAGCGAGGGCATCGCCTGTGACAGGAACACGAAGGCTCCAGGATTTGCTCTGCTTTCCCAAACAGCCTCTGCTTGCTTTATTTTTCTTTGGGAAAGACCCTTCGGTGTGCCTGCTCTTTGTGGAGGTGCGCCTCCCGCAGCAGGTGGCGAGGCCTCCCTCCGGGCTGGGGGAGGGCTGCTGGGACGGGGCTGGTTCAGGTCCGCGAGGCTGAGGAAGTAAGCAGCTCTCCTCTTGTTGTTCCAGGACTTCATGAACGATTACCAGGAAGCAGGAGGCCACCCCTACATGGTGGTCTTACGACTGCTGCGTTACATCCTCCGTCTGGTGTGGAGGATGCAGTGACGACGGGTTCCCACGGAGCCAAGATGTGTGCAGACATTTCACTTGATCGAGCGGACAAGCCCAGCGTCCGGCCTCCTGTCGCCATTGCTCCGCGGTCAGCGGTGGTCCCAGAGCGGCCGGTGTGGCCTGACACCTGGGGCTGCGTGCGGACTTGACCTTATGGGTTCCTCGCCCTGTGGCAGAGGCTCTAGTGTAGTTTGTTATGAATGTAAATGAGAGAGTATTTTCTTTTTAAAAACTGATCATGGTTCTTTGGAGCAGGATTTTATGCAAGAATGGTGTAAGAACACGTTTTTAAAAAAGGAAATGGGAATTTTTAACCAACTTCATAAATGAATTTTTACTAAAAATTTAAGAACCTATTATGGAAACTCGTGTGGGAACTGAGCCAGCTGATTTCTAAGGCTGCCTCAGTTTATTTTTACAGGCTACTGTACAGGACTTTTAAACATGAGAGGTGTGTATGATATGGCCCCTCCCTCCCTGCCATTGCCTCTCTCGCCTTCTTTTAATCGTTTTTACCAAAAAGTTCTTATGAGATAGAACTGATCAAAGGGGTAAAGGGCCTTTGATCAGCCTGTGTTGATATGCCACTTCCACTGTGTAAATATTTTGACTTACCTCCTTAAATGTAATTGCATCTGTGGCTTCTCTGTGTGTGCTCGTCTTCCCCTGCGATGCTCCTCTGTCTGTCCTAGGTGCTGACGCACACATTTGGTCCAGGGCATCTTGATGATCGAGTGTAACTGGGCCAGAATGTGACTTGGGATCTGCCTGTGTCCGCAGCTCAGCCAGTCTTGGGGGAGCTTACTAACCAGGAAGTGCGTGGTACTGGTTTCCCCGTGGTTTGGTGGGCTGGCGTGGAAGTACAGGTGTCCTGAAGAGGGAGTGTGGTGGCAGCAGACACAGTATCAGGGCCCTTGGCACTGTTGGCTTTTCCGGTTGCAGGTTTTCCCTCAGCACAAGGAGGCACTCTCAGCATGAGGCCCTGGCTGGCTGGCAAGCCCACCTGCGGCTGAATTGGGCCGCAAGAGTCCAGGCTGGAGTCCTCATGGGAATTGGCACAGGCCGTGGGCAGGGCTTTGGATGGCTGCTTCCTGGCCATCCTGGCTTTTCATCCAATTCCAAGCCGATCTGGTCTTGGATGCCCACCACTGGTTCCCACTCTTCTGTACCCACTCTGAAATGCAGGCTTCCTTCCCCTCTGCAGCGCCATTAAAACGCGAGGCACAGGCCTGCAGCGGTCCCTCCCACAGCTGTCTGACTGTTCTTTTCTCCTGGACGGCGGCTTTACCAGGCCTCCTGCTGCCCTGCTCCCTCCACCCCCACCCGTGAGGACTGCAGCGAGGCACCCACGGGGGATCAGTCATTTCAAAGGCCATTAAACAGCGGGGAGACCCGAGAGAGACCAGTTAGAGGGCAGGGAAGGAAGGTGCAGATCATTCTGTGAACCCACAACTCCTACAGTTTTTCAAACCTCAGATCATGAAATAGTTTTTTTAAGAGAAATATATGATTTTTTCAAATGAGTCAGCAGTGCCAACAGCTATTGCATTTTCTTTTGGCCCATCAAGGACCAGCATTTTCACATAATTAAATTGCAAGGAGAAACTCATTCATTCATGTGTCTCTTCATCGTTTTGTGTAAATATATATGTATACATATATGTATATACGTGCGTGTATATATATTTTGCATATACGCTTTCTTTATGTAGAAATATTTGATCTCAGATGTCTTCCTTTTTTAAAAATTTCTTTTTTCCCAAAGCCTTTCTTAGGGTCTTGAATATTTTTAAAACTGTTGAGACTGAGCGTGTGTTCTCGGTAGGTCTGGAACCCCCTTGCTGGGGCACAAAGGCCACACCGCTGGAGGTGCTGGTGACATTGCGGCCGTGGGCCTGCGGGACACACACACCAAAGACGTATTTGGTTCTGGGCCCGTCCGCCCCCAGGATCTCCGTACTCATGTCCAGTCCCTCTGACTGGAGCACTTTACCTGCTTCTGGGAGCGCGGACGCAGCCCGGGCTGAGGGCCCGCTGCGCGCTCCTTTACCTCTGGCCTGGCAGCTGGCCGTGGCCACGCGTGAGGAAGTGATTCCGGGACGTGTAGAAGTATTAAGAACAGGATGTTGCCCCAGGACCTGAGAGATGGCTGGGTGTCTGTACTGTACGTGTCTGTGTATCAAGATGCTTCCTGCAGAAAGCATACCTACGATGGTATGCCTTTTACTTTTATATTTTATTATCTTGTAGAAGAAAAATAACTAGCTCCCATTCTGAAAATTTATGAGATGCGGGTTTTGTGCCTTGACCACCTCTTCTCATGCGAGATTTGTAGAAAGTGTCCTGTGATGATCACAGAAATGCAATAAATTCCCCCCAGGAACTCCACGGTGATTCTTCCAGTTTTACGTGTCGTCCAGCCTAGAAATGAGTTTATGAAGAATTTGTTTTCAGTTGTGGAGAAACCAGGTAAAAATTCCTTCTGATTTAAAAAACAAAACAAAAAAAATGTACTCAGTCAAACCGTCTCCTGTTTCCCCTTCTTAATATTGTACATATTTTGACTATTTATTAGATTAGATCCTATTTTACTTACCAACTGAGCCAGATGTCTGTGTGCAATTGTCTCCTTCACCTTTCTTGTAAAATTTTGTACAGCATAAATGAGAAAAGAAAAAAAAAAAAAAATCACTGTTTTTTACTAAACTTTTCCAGAATTAAGGATTGTAAATATTGTAGATTCTTTTTCTGTGTAATGTGTCCTACTGGTTCATAATGCTGTAACTTGTAGACATAATGTATATTTATTTCCTGCTTATTTAATGTCTTAAATTCTGTAAAGTGTTGACCTCTGACACGCCTCCCCTCCCCCCATCCTGTTATTTTCTTTAACTCTGAGGTGGCGGCTGGTCAGCTCACTGCCAGACACATGGTCTTCCTAGGGTGGCCTGCAGCTTTGGTTCCTGGCATATCTGGTCAATGGGTTTACATTCTTGGTGTTGGCTGTCCTTTGATAAAGCTCATGTTTAGACACCAATGAGAGACCATAAATCGGGCAGGCTTCAAAACTCTGGGAAACACCCAGTGACTTTCTATTGGTTCCAAAACAGCTAGCTTCTCATGGAAGCAGATTCTATTAGCTCCAGGATTTGTCTTGAAAAAATAAAAAGTGTTATCAGGTAGTTGGGATGGATTTAAAATTTATACCTGACAGCTCAGTATTCAGAGGGCAGGGGACAGGTAGGAGGGTTCCTGCTTCCAGAGCGATTGGAGGACCTGCTCGTGCCACTCACCCCCTGTTGGCAACTGGCGAGCTGCACCACCTCCACCCTTCCAGGTGTGGCCCGAATTGTCCTCAGGAGCTAATTGTACAGGCCCCTGGCCCCGAACTTTGGTCCCTCATTGGGTCAGCCTGCTTCTTCAGGTTGATGTCCTGCTTCGGGAGAGGTTGGTGGTCCCCTGGGATGGGTGTTAAGATGTGGGAGCTTTAGAGAGGCTTCTTCCTGGTTTGGTGTAGATGGTCTGTCACCCCTGCTGACTTAGCCTGGTGCCTGCGTGTGTTCACTGTGCACGTGCGTGTGTGCGGGGATGTGTTCACACATGAGGCTAAACCAGCTGGGGTGGCTTCTACTCCAAACCGTGCGACGTGCAAGAGCATCTTCAAGCTCCCAGCGAAGTAACTTGACTACTTGTAGTGGGCAGTTCCAGACTTGAGAAGCTCTCCGAGTCCTATGTCCAGGTCCCGTGACCACTCGTCACTGTCGGAACTCATCAGGTACTCCTGTACAAGAGCACTGATCTGTGTGGATACTGATTCATCACTAATGTGTTTCTAGGACCCAGCGTATGTAGCGTTCGTATTGCAATTTCCCTGGCTTACTTTGGTTTGCACTGATGAATTTTGACAGGGTAATTGCCACTTTATTGTGCAATACTGCTGTAAATAGTTGCAGATTTTTTTTTTTTAAGAAACTCAATCTTTTTATGTTCTTACTGAATTTTATATAAATAAAACTTTTCGACTGGTTTTTAGTAAACGCTTTGATTTGTTTCACAAGACGGTGGTGGGACAGCTGGAATTGTATGTGAACGTGTACACGCCCACACCCACCCTTTGCCAGCCACAGAGTGTATCACCTGCCTGTGGGTTTTGTGAGTTCTCGCTTAGAGACGATCCTACGTATTATATTTGAAAGGAAGCCACTGTAGAGGTTTGAGGTGGCTGGCGAGACAATGCAGTGTTGACTCACGTGTTCAGATATGACTCAGCACCTGGTAGAGGGGGTATCGGGAGCTGGCTCCAAACCATGTTGGTGAGTGATGGTGGCAGAGACCCTGTCATCTCACCCCTGCTCAAAGCTGGAAGAAAAACCCAAAAGCTGAAATCTGGGAGAAAGGGCTTGTCTGCGCACCTGCCCAGGCCCCAGAGAACTGCCAAAGAGGGCCCCGGGAACTGACTGTGCTGCCCATAGAGGGCCCACTGAGTGTCTGGCCTGTGCGGGGCATTGGGGGTGCAGAAATTAAAGGCTGATTTGGGGATGTAAACTACAAAGTCCTATAATTGCATAACTTGCCACTTGTACTCTGAAGTAAGTGCTGGAAAGGTTAAAGACTGGCTGAGTTTTATTTTAAGCAATACACGAATTTGGCCTTGTAATTAGATGTGTGTGTGTATGTGTGTGTACATTTATTATTTCAAATCAAGTTCTGGCTCCCAGCCTACTTGCTCTCTAAGGCAGGAGAGTGAATTTTTCCAGACTTTGCTCTGCAGGCTGCGCGCTCGCAGAAGTTTCTAGTGTGTGTGTGTGTGTGTGTGTGTGTGTGTGTGTGTGTGAGTGAACAGATTTCTAGTGGGTTCCTCACTTTTCCTATTGAGAGTTAGCTCTTTATGTATTCTGGGTAAAAATCTCATGTTGGAAATATTTCCCTTGCAGTCTGTTGCTTCCATTTTTTTCTCCAACATTATGAAGATTTGCAGACACATAGAAAACTTGAAGGGTCAAAACCAGTTTGTGTAGGGTCCCAGGTTCGATTCTGGTCAAGGGCATGCACATTGTTTGCAGGCACATCCCTGGTGGGGGTGTGCAGGAGGCAGCTGGTCGATGTGTCTCATCGATGTTTCTAGCTCTCTGTCCCTCTCCCTTCCTCTCTGTAAAAAATCAAGAAAATATATATTTTAAAAATGCCCCCAAAAAGACAAGTTGAAGGAATTTTAACACCATGCACCATTGCCCACCCTCCCACCTACATATCAACCTGCCATCAATCCACTACTCTGTGATGAATTTCAAAGTGTAGTCATCAGCATCCTTCCTCTAAATACATATAATTCAGAGTTCATTCGTTTTTCGTTATTTTGTTTTATTTTTAGGTAAAATTTACATACAATAAAGTATCAGAGTTTTAAGTGTGTGCACTTGCTCATTTTTCACCGAGGGTACAGCTATCACCCAACCCTGATTCCGGGCACTCCCAGAGTTCCCTCGTGCTCACCCTGCACTTCCCCAGAGGCGGCCTCTGTTCTGATGTTTTTCCGCCATAGATTTGTTTCTATGGATCATTTGAATGGGGTCATGTGGTATGTGGTCTGTGTCTGGTTTCTTGTTCAGCATCATGTTTTTGAGAACCACATTACAATGATCAGCAGTTTCTTTTTATTGCTGAATAGTATTCTCTGGGCACCATCATGATGAGCACTGAGCTTGTGCCACTTTGGGGCTAGGACGGACACGGGTGCCCTGTGGAGTCTCATGCCTGCCTTTGTGAACATGTTTTATTTTGCTGCGTGTCTTCTAACTGCTGTCATGCACTTAATGTGGCTGTCGCCATTTTAGAAGGCATTTTTGTCAATCTTAGATTTCCATATTTTGTATTTTAAGAGCCCTTCCCTATGCCAAAGTTTTAAATATTTTCTTATGTCGTATTCATACAACCATACAGTTTTTTAATCTTTAATCTACCTGACATTTATTTTTTTATTGCTACACAGTGTGACTCTAACTTCATTTTCTTTGCACCTTCTTTTTGTTTAATTTGCTATTCTAATTACTGTGGTTTTATGATATGTTTATAATTTCTCATCCTTATTTTTCAAGATTGTCACTGCCATTCTACTTTTTGTCTTTCATGTGGATTTTTGAATAGGTTTTTTATTCTTCAAGATGGCTTAGGGGTGTTGTATGGGATGACATGACTGTATATTAATTTACAAGAGCATCACCTTATTTATAACAAGACTAGAGGCCCTATCACGAAATACAAGAGCAGGCCTTTGCAGCCCCAGCTGCGTCTGGAAGGTCATTCCGCTGTTCTGTTCGGTCGATTTGCATATTACCCTTTTATTATTATAGATGATTTCCAAGGTGGGTAGTGTTTTTACCCAATCATGAGGCTTGTTTTCCTGTGCTTTTAGTGCACCGGGCTTTTCTTCCCATAGATCCTGCACATTTCTTGTGAGCTTTTCCTAGGGAAGGGTGGGATTACCCAGCATCCAGCTCACCCAGTGCCCCCCTTATATCCACAATTGCCCCCTTATAACCACCACCTGCTACCTTTGACCTTTCCCTGCCCTCCAGTGCAGCTGAGAGCACGCCCAGGGCCTAATGGTCAATCCAACGCTCTTCCCAGCTCTTGGGGTCTAAGCAAGCTGGACAAGGAAGGCTGCGGGGCCTGCTGTCTGGCCACCAGCAGGCCAGTCCTTGGCTCCCAACTTCCTGTTTGTCCCCTGGACTCAGTGCCCACCCCTCCAGGTTGTGCTCATTCTCTTTGTGCTGTTAGCCGGAGTGGGCTTCTGTGGCTGGCAGCCGCCAGCTGAATCACTCCTCCCTGTCAGCAAGGACTGAATAAAAAGGCTGGAGGTTCTCTATACACAACAGCCATTCAGGTGTGAAGTGACCGGCTGATGGTTGAAATTGCTGTTGATCAAGAACGGGGCTCTGACAGGGAAAGTGGCAGGGCACAGTGACGGTCTCCAGTCTTCCTGTGGGGTGACTTGTGCCTCAGGTCTCCTGAAAACTCTTCCTAAGGCAAGCCCTACGTCCCAGGGAACTTCTCACCAATGAGAAGATACAAGGAACCAGGATGTCAAAGGCCTGGTTTCTAGGCCTGATTTGCAGGCGTTACTGAAAGGGGCTTGGAAAGGCAATTTTAGAGTCACGGCCTGCCTCTGCGAGCACCTCCACAGGCACGGCCCCTCCCAGCACAGGGTGCCCTCCGCCCACCCAGCCCTGGGGTTCCGGCCAGCGGGGCTCCCAGGCAGACTCCCATCACCCCATCCAGCCAGGAGCTGGCCTGTGGCTTGCAGGTAAGTGCTCTCGGCCCTGCCTAATCACTGTCTCTGAAACTGTGTGTGTCTGGCCTCTGGACTGTAAGAACCAGGCAGTGTCCTGGCTCAGCACCATGCCCTGCACCTCGTAGGCCCTCCCACATGACCCCATGTCTGCAACTTACTCTCACTACCTTGCGTGCCCGGGAGGACAAAGCGGACATGCACCATGTTCACATTGGGGAGTTGGGGTGGGGGCTGTGAGGAAGTTGTTTATACTGTTTCTGTAAGTCTGAAATGATGTCAAAATTTAAAAACTAATTGAGACCCTCTGGTTGGTGGGGAGCAGATGTGGGGAGACAGTCAGGAGTGCACACAGGGGCCTGGGGCCTGGGGGAGGGAGAGAGAACGGGAGCCTGGGAGGATGCCTGTGCCAGAGTGACTGTGGGTGACACTTCCTGAGAAGAGCAGGGAGGGGCCGAGGGGGCTGGGGCAGAGGGAGAGCTCCAGGGCTCTGTTGTATGGAGCTGCCCGCTCCCTCAGGGGAGCTTATCCAGAAAACTGTTATCAATTCATTGTAAAGAGAAAACGCTGGGTTTTGGGGAAGGAATCCCAGCCAGTCGGACGCTAAACCATTGGCTGAGGGAAGAAAGCCGGCAGTGTAAATATTTAGGCCTTGGCTGTAATGAGCCGCCTTCTTGTGAAACAATGTGAGGACTCCGTGAGAGATGGAGCGTGGGGGACGGCATGGGGCGGGGGGCCCCAACGCTGGAGGGCGTTAGACTCTCCCAGGGCTTTTATAAAACGCCCACCTGCAGGGCCTCCAAACTCGGCGGGCTCCGGGGTTGTAGTTTTTAAAGCTCCTGAGTCACTACAGTGTGTGGCTGGGCCTCGGAGCCAGGAGCCAGCCCGCCCAGGACGCCCAGGATGACCGGAAACGGCCGGCCGGTGGCGGCACGACTGGTCACGTGCCCCGAGGACAGCGCTCGGTGAAGCGCCTTCTGTTTGCTTCGTTGTCGTTTTGAAATGTTCAGTTCTCGTGTCTGTTTCCCTCTCCTGCCCTGGCACAGGCATCCATGCCTCCTGCCAAACTCGGGTGAGTGGGGGCCGTGAGCCCAGAAGGAGATCCTCGATCCACCAATCATCAGGTAGGACAGAGCCTCCTCCTGACAAGCCCATGGGGCCCAGTGAGCCAGAGATGAGTGGGACAGGTAATGAATGAAGGTGTGGGTCACAGGGTGCTTGCCGCTGACCTCCCACAGCAAACTGACCTGTGAGAGGGTCTCGGGAGCAGGGAAGGAACATGATGCCCTGATGAACAGCAGGCAGCTGTGAGGCAGGCCTCCGGGTGTGCGTTCAGGTCTGAGCACTGCGGGAACATGGGGGGAGGGGGAGGAGAAGGGGAGGAGGCGGGAGATGCTGTCAGCCCACTAGCCCTGCCTCTGTGACAGCCCCATGGCACGGCCCCGCCCAGGGGAGGGTGTCCGCACCCACCCAGCCTGGGGGCCAGGCCAGCGGGTCCCCAGTGAGGCTCCTGCTTCAGGCACCGCCACTGAGCCAGGGCCGGCCAGCTGCTGGCTTGCATCTGAAGCTGTGTCTCTCTGGCCTCTGGACGGTAAGGATCCAGCAGTGTCCTGGTTCAGCAGGGCCCAGCATCGTGACTGACACCGAGGAGGCCCTCACATGACCCAGGGGTGGATGTGTGCGCTTTAATGTCTGAATTGGATCCTGTTGCAAAGCGTTTTTTCATGAAAGCCTACGTC